TAAATTCTAAGAACATGTTCGCCCGAACCGGTGCGAACCGGCTGAACCCCACCACTGGTAAAGTTGTATTCGGAAAGAATAAACCAGTTTTATTTAAGAAAGGACTTGTGTCGCTAAAGTTTCGTTGGAACGAATTTGCGGAAAGTTAATTAACTAACGACTGGAGACGTAACAATATAATTATTTCGCCAGTTGTCAAAATAAAAGGCTTTTACTTATACTTCTTAATGGTATAAATACATACTGTGTTGTTGTTGAGCTTAGGATTCTTCTACAGTAGGTGTTAGCGATAAATTCAACGGTAAATGAACAGCAATCACTACACTTATTTTCAAAATAGTATATATATTTGGAACAATTTAAACGTATGTACAACACATTTTTCACATTATAGAGATTATAAACACTATATATATAGTTTTCTTCTTCTTGTCAAAAGTCCACTTGGCCTATTCAATTATTTTAGAATTGACAAGCCGAACTATCTTCTCTATTACTATTGCACTAGTATTCTGTGTGTGGTTCACTTACAATTGTGGCGCGAGTTACCGTAATCGTTTGGTCTTCTTTCTTCTAAATATCCTCTGTTCCTTTTGTCAAAATGCACTTAGGCTGATTCAATTACTTTAGAACCACGCTTTGACTAAATCATTATTCTTCTTTATCTCATTTCTACTGTTAGTCTTACTCTAACATATTAAACGTTAGGCCTATGTTAATCGTTAGGCCTATCACTTCTACGGTAGTTAACTTTACCTGACTTAACTTTACTCTCTTCTGCTATTGTCTGTATGCTGTTTCCGCTCATCTCACCTCACACTATTTATATGTTTACCGCTTAATCGTCTGCCCACCTTCTAGAAATCTCTATATTTTCAATGTCAGTGAATTGCACGCAAAGTTCGATAGTCTCAGCATCAATGAACTTATAAACACGACTTCCTACAATCGTCTGCTTTTAACTTTTATTATAACACAAACTAAACATAATAAAATATTCACTACAAAATATATTAACAGATAATATCTAAACTAAACAGTCTTT